ATAATGTCATCCCATAACACACACACCCACACACATACACACACAAACACGCATAAACACGCACACACACACATATATATACAAATCATAAGGAAAAGTCTTTAGTATTCATCACAGAATCGGTTATAATTTTATTTCAACAGTTATACATGCATATATATATATATATATATATGTGTGTGTGTGTGTGTGTGTGTGTGTGTGTGTGTGTGAAAAATATATAGAAAATAAGAAAAGAACTCGTTAGGTAAATAATCCAAAGATCTTTAGTATTTTTGTTATTATTTTTAAAAAATAGTGCTCGATACAAAACTAGAGCATAAATATAATTATTTATTTAAATATATATATACATATATATATATGCATGTATACATGCATATACATGTAGTTATATACATATATATATATATATATATATATATATATATATATATATATATATATATATATATATGCAGGTATAACTGTTGAAACAAATTTATAACTGATGACATGATAAGTAAGTTTTTCTATTATTCATTTTACACTGAATATAAATTCAGACATTGAGCTCTCATCACGGATTTAAATTTTAATACATTTATATTAAAAAAAAAATTAAAACTCATTTGAATAATCCCTACAACTTAGGGATTTGGTATCATATATATATATATATATATATATATATATATATATATATATATATATATATATATATGTTTAAAACAAAAAAATATATTTATGCTTCTTATTACCCTTTTCTGATATGTCTAAATTTGAGGAAGTTTTTTCTCTTTACTCAAGATGTCGTCGTCAGTCTGAACAGGTTTTGGGCATGGTACGTCTAACAGTTACATCAAGGCAAAAGTTGGACTTCCTCGTCGTATGCAATATACGTTTGCAAGATTGCGTGAATTGCTTGAGAATCGAAAGTTGTTTACACTTTCACAATCAACTGGCCGAACAAAGATGCTGTTAGATTCACTTTAAAAACTGAAAAGTTAATCCAGTACTCTAGTTCACATATTCTACTTCTCATAAAACCCAACACATACAAGAGACACACATTTCTTTCTCTCTTTATAATTTGAACCATAACCCTTACCACATACACAGGAAATATTAAGATAATACAATAGACCCTACCACTCACAATATACACACATATAATTTAAGATATTTTTATGTTTATAAATTCTTTTTTAGAGATACAAATATTTAAGTAAATGCTCTGTTTTATAATAAACAGTATTAGTAACATTTACCGGCCTGAATGTCCGAGAAATTTTCATAAAAAATATTCGTTTTCCTACAGAAATCGAACCTGTATCCTATACGGAACCGTCATTTAGCCTGACGTGCCTTAACCGATCAAGCTACAGAGGATCGTTCTTCTAATTTACTGCTTTTAAAATTTTCGCTTAGTCTGCTATATATTTATAAGCGTTCTTAAATTAAAAACTTTTGAAAAATAATGTCATTTCTCTTTTTTTGATAAATACATATTGCAATATAAAATCCTTAAATATGCCTGGATAAAGTGCCTCAGAAGACAAAATGCGTCAGCTATGTTAAGCTTCCCATTTTGGTTTATTCATATTGTATTTTTACAGATATATATATATATTTTTATACTGAAACATTACACACCCACATACAACCACTCCCCCTCTGGCAGTAGATTGTTATTTCATTCTGTTTCTGGCGAGCTAAAATAACATTTGTGTTCGTTACCACATTTTAGGGTACCTCTATAAATAATATAATAATTAAATATTGGATGTTTAACCAGACATTTCACTCTTTGATATATATATATATATATATATATATATATATATATATATATATATATATATATATATATATATATATATAGAGCCAGACAAACCTACCTAGGTTTCACCTAAACGGATCGTCAGGGAAAGCCAAACTTTCCTGACGATCCGTTTAGGTGAAACCTAGGTAGGTTTGTCTGGCTCACTAGGTGTATCTAGGTCTGCTCTACGATTGTATTGAGCTCTTTTGTTAGTTAGTTGTTACTCGTATCGGGGTTTTTTCTTTGGGCTTCAGACCTGCATCTGTGCGATTTTTTGTCGGCACAAGTTCATGTTTGTAGCTCTTTTTTTTTTAAAACCTTTTTTTCCCTCGAGATTGATTTGATTAGCAAATCAAAAATTCGAGGGTTTTTCGAAAACGAGTCTAGTTATCTATATTTTATGTTTTATATATATATATATATATATATATATATATATATATATAGATATATATATAGATATATATATAGAGAGAGAGAGAGAGAGAGAATTGCCTGAAAGTTAATTTAGATAATATTAATGGATTTCATCTATCATATTTCAACTTTTGTATGAATTTGATTTTCACTTGTTAAGATTTCAGTTCTTCGTATTTGAATTTTTAATTATTAACTAATATTCTGGAAGAAGATATGGTAGCAATTAAAATTCGTACGAATGCAAAACCAGGATCTTTTGGTATCAAAATTCAACCGTAATCATTAAAAACAGAATATATACTTTTCATTTCATTGTAATGAGATTTGATTTTCACCTGATTTGATATTCATGAACGCTTGTTAATTATAATGAATAATTAATTCATTAAAAATATCAATTCATAAAGACTTTGTTCAGAGGGAATCGATATTGATGGACACTGTATGAAATTTAATATAAGATTATGAATATGGAAAATATATACACAGAAACGTCTTATTTCGTAGAAGCATAACTTGAAAACTCTTCATTTTGAATAAATACGGTGGTGTAATATTTAGCGGCTCGGATTGAGGAATCGGAGAGCTGGGTTTTAATTGCAGTCGAATCAATTGTGGTCTAATACCCTTGGGAAAGTTATGAATCCTCTTCTTCTTTCCCCAGTAAATAGTAGGACAGACCGGGATTTGTAGCCTTGGATTGCAACTGGTCTACCACAAAACGATATGGCAACCTGCTGGGAAGAAAATCTACCTCGTCAGTCATGTATCGAAAGATACATGATCGCCTACCCGTGTATCACGCATGACACATAACTGACTGATTACAAGAGGAATATTTCATTTTGTTACGGTATAAATTGGACACTTCACCCAATTTAATTGTCCATTTTTTAAAATGATAAATAATCGACAACTCTATTTAAAAGGTATGACGTTAATTGAGTTATGACCTAGTCTCCTTTTTTTGTACAAACCTCGATGAATTCAAAAATTCGTAAGTGACGTAACGCCCATTTCATGAAATCTTTTGATATTTTATGGTTGACCCTAAAACCTGCCCTCTTTATTTGTTTCCTAATATGAATTTCATCATGGGTTCACTTGGAGAGGTTTGGCTGAACGCTGAATACGAACTGGCTACCTCGTGCTTATTCATTGAATTCTAGATTCCCTGTTCTGTTTGTGAATTTCGTTGAGGCAGATCAAATGTTTTTAACAGCATATTCAACAGAACAGCTGAATCCTGTTGATAAGTTTATGATTTTTGAAAAGGTCGTAATTGGTTTGCATGTTGAACCCAAACAGAAGATTTTACATCAACATCATAGGTGACATTTCCGGCACTTTTGTTAACTTGTACGTCAATAACTTAGGTGACATTTCCGGCAAGGTGCATAATATCTCCATTTGGGAACATTTCAGTGACATTTCGAGAGTATTTTGCTAAGACCTGTTGATCTAATATCCTTAGGATTACTTGTTTATGACGTAGTCGTGATGCTTTTATGGAATCCCCGACGCACATGATCGTGGAAATTCCATCATCCCTCAGGAACGTAACTCCCATTTAATTATATATTTTAATAACTTATGGCTGACCCTAGCAAGTGATTCATAAATGTTTAAAAATTATTTAGAAGTTACCGTGATGACCTCTTTTAAAGTTGGTTTCTAAATTAATGATCACATTATTTGAAAGTTAATATCATAGAACCGATGAAATCTTCTGGTATGGAAATATATCCTGGGGGATAATACAGTCTTTTAAAATGTAAGTAGATATATATTTTGTATATCTCAATCTAGCTATTTCTGACTGATTCTGGGATGAGGAGCTATTTACGCAAGGATTGTTGTCAAAATATTAAATCTTTAAGTAAATGGTTCAATTTAAAAACTACGTTTAGTTTAATATTATCGGCATAACCCTAAGAAATACCTGAGGGTAGAAAAGCCGAAACGTTGTGATAGCAACAACAAAGATAAAGAAAAAAGTTCTTGACTTCCTCGTGCTCTCTAAATGTAAATTGTCAATGGCTATTCTTCATTTTCAAATATCGTACCTTCGCGTTGAAGCTCTTGTATTTCTTTTTGCAATTTATTTGATATGTTATCTTTTGTTTACACACAAACACGCACACACACACACACACGCACACATACAAACATACACACATCTATCTATCTATCTATCTATATATATATATATATATATATATATATATATATATATATATATTACAAAACAATCTGTTTCAACCGACAAAACTATGTCAGCGTTATTCATCCCTAGTGTATACTCTCTATACACAAGGGTTGAATAAAACTGACGTAGTTTTGTCGGTTGAAATAGATCTAAACACCGCCCCCACCCCAAGCATATGAGGTAATTTTCGATTTTTTGTGTAATTTATATGCTCTATTATAATGAATACATTGAGTTCTTTTGTGGATCAGATTTAATATTTTTGTATTACTAGGATCCACTTGGATTATATGCCAACGTAATTATTTATTACCTGTATTATATATATATATATATATATATATATATATATATATATATATATATATATATATATATAAAAGATACATATACATATATATATATATATATATATATATATATATATATATATATATATATATAGTTGGTAATAAATACGTATATATATGTGTGTGCGTGTGTGTGTGTTTGTGTATGTGATTATGATTGCTTTTATTATTTACGTAACTGTTTATGTGATAAAATAGAAATATTTAAGGAACTTACCGATTTTTTCCACGTCAGTGTCGGTTTTGGTTTTCCTGTTGCTTTACAAATGAGTTGAAAGAATTCCCCAAGCATCAAATAATGTGGGCCACGTGCCATGGACATTTCCACTTTCGGAGGCACTACAAATAGAGCAAACAGAAATATATGTTCCTATGACGTTAGGATTAGCTTGGCCAGTAGATACAATTAAAAAAAAAAAGAAGAAATTACAAGAAATATACATATTCCAGGCTTGTGCTTTATTTAATACGTTTTATGCTGCCAGACTATCTTGGAGATTAAACTTCTAGTATAGTAACTTCGATCTTCCTTGGCGCCACAAATCTATGGCACTATATCAGACTTAGCTTAGATTAGGATATATGTTACTGCGAATTAGTCATTAACAAACATTTCCTGTCGACCATTACGTACATAATGAATCGTTTGGTGACAAAAGGTCACACAGTTGGGGTTCAGTATGGTAGTAAATCTATATTATCAGAATAGTATAAAAGTGTTTACAACAGTTCAATCTTTATATATCTATTATCGCCTACAATTAATATTATAGTTACTTCGATTTTCACTGGGTGACCAGGTTGTTCATATTAAAGGTTACGATATATGAAAAACAATACAAAAGCTCGATGTTGTCATTACATAACGCGGTCAAAATAAGGGCCTTGAAATATATTAAGTTTAACGAATTAAGGCGCTTCGTCTCACAACGATTGCAAAAGTAAAAAGCCATTCACACGTCATTTAACATTATATATATATATATATATATATATATATATATATATATAGCTCTGTTAAAGGATAATTTAAACGCGATAAAATTATTTATACATGTTGTTGGCTTGTTCTTCGCTTGAGAGGATCAAGACAAGAGAGTCGCTGTAACTTCTACAAATGCACTCTTTCGCTTGTGATGGTTTATGTAAAATTGACACGGGTATTTAAGTGTTATACTATTGCACCGTAGCCCACAGATGCAAGTGACACTATAGAAATTTGTCAGGGTAACCTCTCAGATATACTGTCTATACTGTCATAGATGAAGATAGTCACTTAGATGGACATCCTTACAAATCCAAGAGGCACCAATCCCGATGCTATTTGTCCATAGGCGGAGATGTCCACTTAGATGGACTGCCTTACAAAGTCGAAAGCCACAAATCCCCAGTCTATTTGCTCATAGGCGGAGATGGCCACTTAGATGGAATGCCTTACAAAGCCGAGAGGCACCAATTCCCATAATTTTTGCCAATAGGCGGAGATGTCCACTTAGATGGACTGCCTTACAAAGTCGAAAGGCACCAATCCCCAGGCTATTTGCCCATAGGGAGAGATGGCCACTTAGATGGACTGCCTTACAAAGCCGAGAGGCACCAATTCCCATGCTATTTGCCAATAGGCGGAGATGGGCACTTAGATGGACTGCCTTACAAAGCCGAAACACACCAATTCCCATGCTATTTACCCATAGGCGTAGATGGCCACTTAGATGGACTGCCTTACAAATCCGAAGGGCGCTAATCCCCTTGCTATTTGCCCATAGGCTTAGATGGCCACTTAGATGGACTGCCTTACAAAGCTGACAGGCACCAATTCACATTCTATTTACCCATAGGCGGAGATGTCCACTTAGATGGACTGCCTTACAAAGTTGAAAGCCACAAATCCCCAGTCTATTTGCTCATAGGCGGAGATGGCCGCTTAGATGGACTGCCTTACAAAGCCGAGAGGCACCAATTCCCATAATTTTTGCCAATAGGCGGAGATGTCCACTTAGATGGTCTGCCTTACAATGTCGAAAGGCACCAATTCCCATGCTATTTGCCCACAGTCGGAGATGGGTACTTACATGGACTGCCTTACAAAGCCGAAAGGCACCAATTCCCATGCTATTTACCCATAGGCTTAGATGGCCACTTAGATGGACTGTCTTACAAAGCCGAAAGGCACTAATCCCCTTGCTATTTGCCCATAGGCGGAGATGGCCACTTAGATGGACTGACTTACAAAATCGAAAGGCCCCAATCCCCAGGCTATTTGCCCATAGGCGGAGATGATCACTTAGATAGATGCTTTACAAAGCCGAGAGGCACCGAGCCCCATGCTATTCGTCCAAAAGCGGAGATGGCCACTTAGATGGACTGGCTTACAAAGACAAAAGGCTCCAATCGCCATTCGTTGTGCACACAGGCGGAGATGTCCACTTTGATGGACTACCTTACAAAGACGAAAGGCACCAATCCCCAGGCTATTTACCCATAGGCGAGATGGTCACTTAGATGGACTTCCTTACAATGTCGATAGGCACCAATCCCCATGCTATTTGCCCATAAGCGGAGATGTCCACTTAGTTGGACTGCCTTACAAAACAGAAAGACATCAACTTACTTTCTATTGGCCCATAGGTTGAGATAGCCACTTAGATGGCATCAACTCCATTCTTATTTGCCCTTAGGTAGAGATAATTTTTTGATGAACTGCCTTATAAAGCCTAAAAGAATCAACCCCCATGCTATTTGCCCATTGTTGGAGATGATTTCTTAAATGGACTGCTTTACAAAGCTAGAAGTCATCAAATCTATTTGCACATAAGTGGAGATGATCTCACAGACTGACTGACTTACTCTGCTGAAATGCACCAGTTTCCATGCATTTTGTCCATAAGTAGGGATGACCTCTTAAATGGACTGTCTTATGAAGCAGATTCACACCAGTTACCATACTATTTGACCATAGGTGAAGATCGCCTGTTAGATAGATTGCCTTATAATGCTGAAAACTCCAAATTGCCATTCTATTTGCCGATAGCTGCTGGACCTATTAAACTGACTGCCTTACAATGCTGAAAGTCATCTTTGCCATGCTATTTGTTTCATAGCTGGGGGACGTATTTGATGGACAGATTTACAAAGCCGAAAGTTACCAACTGCCATCATATTTTCGAGTAGTCTCTGTGGTCAACCTAGATGCACTGACTTACAAGGCCGAAGATTCAGAGCTGATATACAGGCCGGATCTGACAGAACTAGTTCACAGGTGATAGTCGTTAGAACATCGTAAAGAATCAATTTAAAAATTTGAACTCCAAGAAAACATGGGACCGTGTACGATAATTACCTTCAGTCAAATCAATGAAAATTGATTTTCCAAGAACGACATATTTCCAGAATATCTCAAATATTCTCGTAGCATTAAATGGCTTGAATCTAAAGGCTATTTCTTAAAACGTAACAGTACAATTTCCATGGAGTTCTCGTTAATCGGGTTATTGTTAAACTCAACAAAACAAGTCACACAGGGTGCATTACTTAAGCGGAAATCAAAACTTTTCAAATTATCATCGGCCATTTTTTTTTCCATTTAAGTCATATATCTTACATACATCATGAATTTTCCGGGTCTCAAATCATAGATTGTTATATAAATTCATAGACGGCCATCTTGTGAAAGGTCAGGTTTAGTCACATTCTTCACTCATCAAGTGACTATATAATTTACTCATACAATTTCTGCTAACACGTCCACAGTCCTGTGTATAACGATAGACTACATCCGACAGCAAGGCCTCTGACCAGGAGATTAGAAGTTTAGAATCAGCTCTTAATTATTGTTTTTTCCAGGTTCACTCTAACCTGTGCTGGCAAAACTTGTTAGGGTCCCAACAACATGGGCAGATATTGAACCCCCAAACAAAAAAATAGAAAAAATACCAGCAGTATATTTTTATAAAAGTATCAGCAATACCATTTTATAGTAGAATGACCAAAAATCCATTTTGTTTACAGATGAAGGAATACAATTGCGTTCAAAATATATCCATAAAATTGATTCAAATATTTAGACTTAGGCATTAAAAAACTCAGAGTGGTGTTGATATATCACTAAACTAAAACAACCACCTAACATATCTACGCATCTATTATTTCGATTTATTAATTTTCAGAATTTCAGAAGCTATAAAATTTCGGGCATTATAAAATTAATATCAGAGAGATTTTTTTTCTTTTTCAATTTACAAACAATTCCCACAGTATTACCAGAAAAGAATAAAGGCAATGTAATTTACTTCTATTAGTAAAATATGAAAACTATTATGAATGATGGATCTGTTTTTTTTATATGAGATTATTACTATTTTTTGACTTACCAGTGACAATGACATTGCGGAAAAGTTGGGTGATCGGGTCTGTGGAAACTTGGCATTCGTACATGTCTTCATCTTTTAAGACAACATCCTTAATCTTCAGGTCGTATCCATTGTCTAAACTGAGACGAGGTTCATTAATCAGGATGGCTTTATCAACTGACAGAATCTGGGCCCCTTTTTTCCAGAAAACACGGAAATCTCCTGAAATAAATAAAAAATAATTAACTGTAATATCACAGGCGCATATTCAATTCCAATTTGTCGTCTGAGAAAAACCTGGAACAACAGATCGAATATAGAATGGATTTTGGAGAGGGATTCTTTTCATTAATTTATCCATTATTCGTAATATTTTTTATTACGTTTTCCTGTCATGTCACTAATATTCAATCGAGTTTTAATATCACACCTATTACTTCCTGAAGCAAAAGTGTGAAATGCAAACTATGAAAATTCATAAATTTTGGCAATTTGGGGGTATAAAAATATTTACAGCGATGAGCAAAAACAGATAATTTTTTTTTATTCACGATAAACAGAAAATTATTGTTAAAGCCTGAATGTATGATTGTCAAGCCAACATGCAAATTATAAATTGCAGATAACCGAATCAAGCAAGTACAAAAAATATAAATGACTTGAAACTGTTTCAACAGAGAACGGAATCTGCAACATCGAAATCCGAGGGCTCTTTGGGATAGCGAATGATGGCTTCACAAAAGCTGAGGAAATTCTTATGAAACTGAAGAATTTCGTTAGAAACACATAAAATAATAATGAAATGTCATGAAATATTTGTACTTCTATATGGCGTTGAATGCAGGACTGAAGTAGAGACTTAAAGCAACAGTAAACTGGTTTTATCGAAGGATGCTAAAGAAACGATGGACTGAACATGTGAGAAACGATGGAGAAACGATGAATACAAAACAACTCTAATACTTACCATTAG